GTTAGTTTGGTGTTTGATTGGATCCAAATGTATTTGTGCAGACAAACTTTCAGCTTCATTGTTTTTATATATCTGCTCTTCATCTAATTGTTTTTTTGTTACTGTTTCATTGTTCCTTATTGTTTGGACTAGAAGGATGGGATCAGGATATTGCATTTCAAAATTTTTTTGTGTTGGTTTGAATATTCAGATGAAAGAAAGCTATGCAAGAAAATTGAATCATTATGTTGTGCTTTACTTCCTGCAGAATTAGGGCAACTGGAATTTGTTCTTTGCTCAGTAAATTGATTAGAAATGCTGATTATAATTGCTGTATGAAATGCTTATTAATGAAATATTTCCAAGATAACCAAAGTGGCATGCTATGAAAGATGAATAAAGAATTGTTCAGGCCTTTTCTCATTATAACATGACTAGCTGTTAAATGGAATTTTATGTAACCTTTTATCATTCTAAGAGTGTCAAAGAATACTGTCCTTTCTTATCATTTTTTAAACCAACATATTGTAAACTTTTTGGTTTGCTTCATTGCATCATAGGTGTTTCTATTGGAAGTGTGTCTGTGTTGGATTCTGGGCTTTCAAAAAGTGACATACATTTGAAGCACTTTTGATGAACGGTTTATAACTGAGATACCTAGACTGAAGTTTTAAGATTTATGCTAGGATATTGCTGTTGTCAGTTTGTTCATCCTGCTTTCATCTCCATCCCTCTGTCTCTTTCTCTCTCTTGATTGCTTGCTCTCAGGTTCTTTGCTTTTTCATTTCCTTTGTTGGCATATGGGGAATGTTGCAGTTAGTTTGGATTGTAAATTAGAGTTACTCAGTTCAACTAAAAGCTTAGTTTGAGCTCAGTTCTGCTGTCTAGCTCTTTCAATACCAGGAAAACTGGCAATGCAGTGGGCTAATTTTAAGTGAACAGGAAAAAAAGGAAAGAAATGGTTGTATAAATACACGATGTCAAACAAGATAGTAAGGAATAGAGTCTTAGTTTATGTCTCTGATTGAATGGCATCAGATTTCATTTTATGTTCTTTCGTGATTCATGTATGTCATGAGACCTCTCTGCTTTTTATTTTGCTCCAGTCATATTAAAATTCTTCTGAGTCAAAACTGTTCTGAATGTATAATTATATTCTTTTTATTTTGGGCAGAGAAGGAGAATGGTCCAAGGACTGTGAAAGATGTCAAGTTAATAAGTGCAGGAAAAATATTGGAGAACAACAAAACACTAGGAGAGTGCCAGAGCCCTCTTTGTGATATTCCTGGTGGAGTGACGACTATGCATGTTGTTGTTCAACCTCCTCCTTTGGAAAAAGGTACAATTATTATCTGTGAGATTCCAAAAATTATAATCTGATACTTTTCATAAAGAGCAATAATACTCGTCTGTCCTTTTGTCTGTTTGTGGTACCAATGTTGAACTTATCCTTTTTTAGGGGAAAAAAAAAAACCAGGAAAACCCTTCTGTTTGGAAATTATTCAAACTTGCTGGTTGAGGTTCTGCTTGTTAGGGCAATGGAAAACTTTAGGTGATGATTGCATTGCGCTGACTTCACGAAATGTTTAACTCAGTAGTTAAGCATTTAGATTATTAGCCACTTCTTAATGGTGAAGCACCAGATTGAGGCCAACTATACATGTCCAGCTATCAACTTTCGTTGTCCTTTTTCCAACTCAAAATAGGTTTTCTTTGTGATGCTTTTATGTTTTTTTTTTTTACTTTTTTCCTTGAAGTAACATTCGTATCTTTTATTAATGACCAGAAAAGAAAGCAGCAAACCAACCAAAGCAGAACAAATGCGTATGTGTCATATTATAATCCACAGCTTGAAGAGGGGATGACATCATTTGAAGGTGGTTTTAGTTAATTGACTGTTTCTTCACTGCTAACATAATACTTGGTTTTAAACTAAAGTATGTGCCCTCAAATTTTCTGCAGATGAAGAGTGCTGGAACTGGTATAGAAAACAAAGTTGGGGGACTCTCTTATTGATGAAGGCAGTTGGCATCTTGCACATTTATTATATAGGTCTTGTTTTTCCATGCTGCTGGTCAACGCCTTATTTGTGTAGTTGATGATTGTCCATCCATTTTGTTCACTTTGTTCTTTTCACATTTATTAGACTTTGCTATCAAGCAATTAAATCTCCGATTTTCTGTCCAAATATGTCTCACCAAATGCATTTTTCCACATTTTTACGTCTTGAATTCGTCTTCCCTTGTATAATATCATTTTTTTTAATTTTGTAATTTGACCTGTTACGCGAATTCATGTTGGTGGTCATACTTTTACCAAGTATAAATGCTGAGAGCTACAGATAGAGTTGGTACTTTATTGTTGTTCTGTTCTGCATACCTGCCTTGTTCAAGACAGGTCCATGGCAGCTTGGTTTTTGGCACTTTGTACTATGCTTTTCTAAGCTCAGATTTCGTTTTACATTTTGGTTGTTGGTGTGAAAGGATAACCACTGTTTAATTCTAGGAAGATGTCGGGATACAAATAAACATGATAGTTGCTTTTCTTTGGTAATATGAACATCACCTAAAATTCAGCCATTTTATGAATGAATGAAGGAATGATGTACACGATGTTGTGTCTGTAAGCAATCAAAAAGTTGGTTGGAATATCATTAGCCTTACACTTTAAAAGATTGTTTGCCTAAACACTACTGCGTAATTATAAAGTAGTTCCTGCACTTCTATTGATCATGTTGATTGTGTGGCAGCCAGGATTGCTGGTTTATGCCCCATTTGCACTCTGGATATTCTTTTGACATAGAATGGAATGGTGCAGTTCAGCCTGGCCTGTGCTTGAACCTACTTACTACCAATAAATTTCCATACCATTATTTTTCAATACTAGTCGAGATTTTTTCTGAACGTCCAGATAAGAAGGAAAACGTTGGTGGTAGTGAAATATAACTCATCATTGCATTCAATGTGAAAATCAATGAAAAGGGTGGAAGATCATTCCTGGTTAAGGATGGTAAAATTCAAGCTCCATAAAAATTATAATGTTAAAACTCTCAAGGAACTTGAACATTTGATTTAGATTGGTAACAATTTGACAAAACCAAGTTTAATGGTCTTCACCCTAGACTAGATAAACGAAAGTGAACCATTCGGTAGTAATGGAAAAGCAAAGCATAAACCTTAAAAAATATAAAAAACTTTGGTTCCATACATGTTTATTTAACTAAATCTCTCATAATTTATGTTAGGTTAAACAAACCCTTCAACTTAAGAGGAATGTATTAATCATTAGATTTAATGTTATTGTCTATGGTAAATATGACCCGATTAGTTAATGTGACCACGTTGTATAAATCTAGAATCATTGGTCACTAATTGTCTATGCTAATCACCTAGTCAAATTTTTTGGGTACATCATATAGAGGGAATGGGAGATGGAAGGTGAGGATAGAGAGAGAGAGAGAGAGAGGAGCAAACTAGAAACTGAAAATGTCATATCGGTTGCCATGTGAATAGATTGGAAGAGAGAGGCTTCACATTTCAATTGGAGAAGTGCTCAGCATATTAAGCTGTGCTTTGGGGCGTTTACCAAGGCATGGTAATTGTGGCATAGAAGGATTGATCTTCAAGTTGATAACTAGATTGGTTGTTAAAGCTATAACTTCTTCTTTTTCTTATCCTTGTTCGAATTTCGATTTGATCCAAGCGATTCAATGTCTAATGCAACATTAATGGGAGGTTGATTATACGACAAATAAAGCTTTTATAGAATAACAAAAATTCGTAATACACTTTAATCTTTTTTAAATGTTAGAGATTTATTGATATACGATGTAATAGGTATATCTATATTTCGACCGATTGATACATAAATTGATTTTTTTTTTATAAAAAAAAATAACATGATAAATTTATTTTGTTTATATTATTTATAACTTAATATAATATAAAAGGAAGTTTTGATAAGATTCAAATAATATCACGTGAATGTATTAATAAAAAAAATCAAAAGAAGTGATTAAATTTTTCACGTGAAATCGTAAAAAAAAACTGTTATAAGATTTGATTTTAAATGAATCGCATCACTAATAATTTATATAGATGATGAACCGTAATTAATAAGATTTACCGAGTCAAATTTTAGTATTATAAAACCGGAAAGATGTTGTTTCTTCTACAAAGATTTAGAGGATGGTTGTGTTGTAGCAAGCAGCAAGGGCTGAAGTGATTCTTGTCTTCAACTTCTTGGTAGTGGGAAGCCAGTTTACCCATTGAAGCCATTTTTCTGCATTTAATGCTCTCTACATGGTTTGGGCTGCACTTCTCCATTTTTCGCTTTTATACAATTTTTTTTATTTAAAATTCCTTGGATCATGGATCCTCTTGCTGGCCTCCTCAAAAAATAATAATAATATTATTATTATTTCTGTTCTTTTTGTGGTCCAGTGGCAGTAACATGTCCACAGCATAAGGAATATATTTGAGTTTCGAAATTTTATTATTCTTAATTTATACAAAAATTTTATTTAGATTTTTAGACGAAATTATAAATAAATTTTTTTCTACAAATATTAATGTGTAATAATAAATATTTAATAAAATTATTTTATATCCTTGATTTACTCTTTAATAATTTATAAAATGATAATCGAAATTGTACTACTTTATTTGTTTCAATTATTTCTCATGATTTTATTTATTTGTTTCAAAATTGTAAAAATAAATATTTCTTTTTTTCCATCGTATCCACAAAGATGGCCACGTGTATGAACAGAAAAGATCACCCACGCTTTCCCGACAGTTCACGAACTCTCTCCGGTCTGCACTGAACCTCCGCATAAAACAAATGCCCGACGAATTTCTTTTTTTACAAATAAAAAAAAAAAGA